CTAGGTGGTCTCCCATCCAAGTACTAACCAGGCCTGACCCTGCTTATCTTCCGAGATCAGATGGAATCAGCCTCGTTCAGGGTGGCATGGCCGTAGACTAACCTTGACTTTTCAAAGGCTTCTAGGTTTCTAGTAAACAGTTTCCAGATTCGGGTGTAGGTAGTCATAAATAATCCATGGTCATTCGTCAGAGCAGCTCTTGAACGTGGGGAGCGAGATGAGCCCCCGCCCTCACACCCTTTCCTGCCACCCTCTCGTGCCCCCGGAGCAGGCCGGCTCCCTGCAGCTTTGCCCATCATGGCCACTGCTGGCCGGACCGGGCGTGGGTCCATTTTCCGGAGCCTGTGCTGCCGCCTCCAGCAGGCTGCGTCCTGTCCGCAGTTCCCACGGCGGTGCCGGTGCTGGACAGCGACACAGTGACCTCTTCCCACCCAAGCCTCTCCTGTGCCTCCCTTAGTAGGCTTTAACTCACTTCAAGGAAATAAAAGGTTACAAAAGAAATTTTGGATGTGGTTCCATAGTGTAGTGCTGAGCACTTCTGCCTTACATGTAGAAGGTCCTGGGTTTGCACCCCAGTGGAGCCATAGTCTGTGGTCTATGGCCATGCCACCCTGAACAAGCCAGATGTCTGATCTTGGAAGCTAAGCAGGGTTGGGCCTGGTTAGTACTTGGATGGGAGACCACCTAGGAGGACCAAGTGCTGTAGGCATAAATAATAATTTTTAAAAAAAAAAGTTTTTTGCAGGTGGAGACAAAGAAGCTCTGGGAGCTCACAGTTGGGGAAACATAGCTAGACTCTTGTTTTTGAAAGTCAGCTAAGGCAGGAAAAGCCACATGGGGACGCAAAGCACAAGAGAAATCCTGTGATTCTAGGACACCACGGTTGGCACTTTGTACATGGGGAATATGCATTGCTCCCACTGCCGTTAATGTAAGCTATTTCCATCTGCTTCGTTTTCTCCATCCTCTGCAACCAGCTCACCTGGCCTTAAAAGAACAGCTCTACGGGTGACAATGTGTCTTTGTCCCTCCCAGGGTCTAATGTCCTTGCCCTGTGGCAGGAAGAACTTAGCCTCATTTTGATAAGCAAGAAAACTATGTGTATTTACCCAACCTGAATCTCGGCATTTGAATATATGTCTTATATATATTCACATATAAAACATATGTTCATATTCATATTTGAATATATATAAGATCCGTATTGGTTTATAAGCTGATAGGACAAAACAGGACAGCAAGAGATTCCTAAAGAAAACTCATTGCTATAGATGTAGCATTTCCTACCTCAGAGGTCAATACTGGAGATTGGATCAAGCAGATTTTATTCTATTACACTGAGCAAAGGCCTTAATCCAGCAGGTACATTATCCACAGAAAATGTGCATGAACTGGAGAACAATTCATGAAGAGTCTTCACTTGCCAAGTTCAAATTGTTCTCAAATAACCCAGTGAAGGACTAGATGGACTTCCCATTTCTTCATGCTGGTGTTTCAGAGTCAGCACTGAGGAGATAAGATTTCCCGAAGCCAGGGATTAAGAGGGATGTTAACCCTGCCCCGCTCCCCCCAGGAAGATTTGATTCCAGTGCAGGCTAGTGACATTCTTCTAAAAGTGACTCTTATTTCTTCCTGCAGCTTGATCATTATCCTTCTGTGAGCTACCATCTGCCAAGTTCATCTGACACACTGTTCAACTCTCCCAAGTCGCTCTTTCTAGGAAAAGTTATAGGTAAGAATTTGGGCTAAGTTGCTCACATCATATATTCTAAAACTGCTAATTTGCCTTGGAAACACATTGTGATTGGTGGTTGTGGCTTCTAAGTCAATGATGGTAATTTAACCAGCGTTATTTGGTGTGACATAAACTAAAACACAAGTGAAAGCAAGTATCTGCCCTTAGCTTATTTACATAAAATTTGTTCATTGGTTTATTAAAGACCTCTATTAAATAACAATATTTTATTTAACTTTTTCTTATTCTAAACATATCAACATGATTCTCTCTTCCTCTCACTCTCGAGAATATCTCCTCAGATTTTCAAATTAGAAGGCCAAGAGGAATTAGAAAATTGTGACAGAACGTCCTCCCCTACGTGTGATCATGACTTTAAGAGTCACCACTGCCCTTTACTATTGATCTGTGCTCTGTAGACTAAAATATGGATATCATTCATTAAGTATTTTAAAATGATCACTGTAAAGCTAATGGATTTTTTTTTTAACTATGAGAACATATATTGTGAACTCAAAATGGAAATAGTAAGACGGTGGGTAATATACTGGCCAAGGAGAAGGTGACTGTGTCCAGTGGTTAGTGGTAATCAGGATGGTGTTAGTCATGAAAAAAAATTCTTTTAAATAGATGAGTGGGGGAGTGATAATGAGAGAACAGGAGACCCAACCTGTAACCCAGATAACAGTAATATTCACTTACATAGGACTTCCTGCAGGCCAGCTTCCGTTCTAAACACTTCAGGTGTATGAACTCATTTAATCTTCATAGCCATTATGTGAGATAATCAAGATTATCTCCATTTTACGGATGACAGAACTGAGGCACAGATCAGATAGGTTAAATCAATTGCCCACGGACACCTGCTTCTTAAGTGGTAGAACCAAAACTTGCGCTCAGGCTGTCAGACACCTCAGCCTGTGCCCCGACCATGGGGCTCAGGCTCTGCGGGGGCCTGGCTCACAAATGGAGAGAGAAAGCGGAAAAAGGAGACTTCGGCAGCGCAGCTTGACCAGGTGAGGGATAAGCCCTGCATCCCATGGCAGAGAGGGACCGAGAGTGAGACGTGCTCCTGGACTTAGGAACAGGGACAGGCCACCGGGCCAGACAGCAGGCGAGCGGAGGGGTACGTGACGCCCCGGAGGAAAAGGCCACGTCCTCAGTAACGGGGGGTGGGGAGGGGTAACAGTAGCTCGGTCAGCGCGTGGAAGTGGGGAGGGAATGAGGGCTAAACCTCACTGACCACCTACCACGTTTCAGGCATCGTGCCAAACATTTTACACAGTAAATGTGACAACTAAGTGTCACAACAATCCAGTGAAGCGAGACCTGTGATTATCAGCCTCATTTCACAGATGAGGAAGCTGAAGGTGAGGCAGGTCAGTTTGCCAGAGTTACTCAGTAGTGTGCGGGAGAGCGGGCCGTGAGGCTGGGTCTCCGCCAAGAGCCCGCAGTCCTCAGCAGGTCGGAAGAACTTGTCGTTAAGGATCGAGGTCCCTACGGGCTGCAGCTGACAGTTAAGCAATATCATTAATTAGCAGCAGGAGTGGCTGTTCGGTGGCCTAGGGCCCTGGCATTTGTAAGGCGAGCGTCCCAACACGCTGGTACGTGGCCAGACACTGCCACGTGCATTCACACTGTTCAGTCAGGAGTAAGTGAGTTCTCAGTGCTTCCTCGTGGTCGTAATGACTCCATCCAAACAAAGTCTGCACTGTGACACCGGAATGCTCAGACTCTACGTCATGCCATTCCTTGAAGAGCATCCACCACGAATTACCTGAAACAATAGCCTGTATTGCTTCATGAACCTCACAAAGTTAAATTTTGACAAGAATGTTGTGGAATTGCTAGATTTCCTCATTATAAGTAACACTCTCTAGTTTGTCCATGTTTCAGATCATGCGATTAAACTTACGATCCAGCAAAATTACGATATGCAGCATGGCATGGACCTTCAAGGTCATAAACAAATAACATCGTAAAGGCCATATGCTCCGAAACTAAGAATTCACTGTGCTATAAATCTGAGCCCAGCTGAAAGCATAACACGAACCTCAGATGTCTGAGCATGACGCCCAGAGCTCTTCGTACATGAAAGGAAAATGTCGCTGTGCACGTAAACTAACTGTGCATGTGGCAACGCGACACGTAAATAACACATAAACACTGTAAGGAAGTCCGCAGCCCCAAGACGGAGGTGGCATCATGGCATCCTGGCATCATGCACATGAGAGTAAATTAGGGTGCTGCTATGGGTCCCCAAACAATGACTTCTAGCAGAGATTGACTCATCCACACCAGTCCATGAGCCCTGTGCAGTGTCTCGGGGTTCCATTGTATCTTATAAGGAGCAAGTGCTCAATAAATATTTGTTCAATTAATAAAGAATAAAAGGGAAGAGAAACAAAAGGAATGTCATCATAGAAGTTCACTGCAGAGTGAGAGGGTGTGGGTAACAGTGTAGACACTGTCAGGAAAGTTATCTCGGGGGAGATCGGTTCTCATATGGCTTGCAGTCTGGTTTTTCAAAAAGCAGGTATCTGATAATAATAATGGAGCAGAAAGAATGTAGGCTGTGGGACTGGGCAGAGCTGGCGTCTGAATCAGCTCAGGCTAATAGGTAGCTTAAACAACAGAGGCTTACTTCCCACCGTCTGGAGGCTGGGGAGTCCCAGGTCAAGGCAGCAGCCGATCTGGTGAGGGCCCTCTTCCCGGTGTGCAGACAGCCATCTCTCACTGTGTCCTCACGTGGTGGAGAGGAGGCAAGCTCTCGTGTAGCTGGTTCTGAGGGCACTAACTTCATCCATGAGGGCTCCACCCTTGTGATCTAATCCCCTCCCAAAGGCCCCTCGTCCTGATGCCATCCCATTAGAGTTAGGATTTCAACACATGAATTTGGGACATAAGTTTTCAGTGCGTGGCTGCTGGTTATACGTGAACCCAGGCTCTGCCTCTTGTCAGCATTGAACCCTTGGGCCTCTCAGAGCCTGGGTTCTCTCTCAAAATGGGGACAGAGATGCCTCCTTGCAAGTTGCTATCTCCCTGAGGGCAGAGTGCGTTGTCTTTCTATTTTCAGAAGCCAGATCAGTGCCTAATGTATTGTAAGTGCTCAAAAAATATTTGTGGGGTAAATAAACTACTCTTTTAGTATTAAGCTAATAACATCCTAGGAAACATCCAACACAATGTCTCGTACAAAAATAAAGAAAGTAATTACCATTTTTGATGCTGCATCTGTGCCAGTCATCGTGGTATGTGCTTTATGGCTAGTACCCCCTGCAGTGCTCACAACACCACCCCAGACTGCTGTCACCTCACCGTGTGGAAGACAGAACCAAGGCTCGGAAAGGCTGTTAGTTTCGCAAAGCAGCTTTCCTGACAGCAGCACCATTGCCACTTGGGGTCAGATAATTCTTTGTTGTGAGGGGCTGTCTTGTGCATTGTAGAGTGTTTAGTAGCATCTCTGGCCTCTCTCCACGACATAAAAGTAGCAGCCACCAGGTGTGACAACCAAAATGTCCCCAGACATTGCCAGATGTTCCCCAGGAGGGCAGAGTTACCACCAGTTGAGACCTGCTGGCTTCAAAGACCCCAGGTAGTCACTGATGGAGCTGGGATTTGAACCGAGTGATACGAGAGGCTGAGAGCTGGATGCTATTTCTTGGTAGCAGCCGCATCCTTCAGAACGATGATGAAGACACGAGGAAGACCTCTGGTACCCTGAAGTCAAATGCTGTTATGGCAATTAAAGGAGTCACAGTCAGGACCAAAAAGATCATGTGGGTGCCTGGTGAGGCTACGGCCACCTCTTTAAGCCAGTGTTCCTTAAATTTTGCTAATTTAGTAGGGGCAGGCCTGGTGAGAAGTATTTTTAAGTTTCCCTTTGAAAGCGACACACACTTCAATGAGAGTCAGTCGATACACAGCCAATACGTAGGTATGTAAATATTCATCTGTAGGCGGATTGAACTTCAAACAGCTATCTCATGTACTCCAGCGAGGTTTTGACACCCCTAGAGATCAATGTCCCCAAGTTGTTGCTTAGCTGGGTCAGCTGCTAATCAGAAACTGATCTCATAGAAGAAGGAAAAGGAGATGGATCTGAATAAATAGTATGCCTTCACATGAGCTCTTTGATGAGCACTGCTTGAAAAAGGACACATACAAAGGATGGAAGAAAAGGTACCTGATCAAGGACAAGTGTGATCTTTCTAAAGGCAATGGAGGAAATTTATTCTAGAAATAAAAATATGATCACCGCCAACCAACACCATAACTTTAGGATGTGTCGTTAACATTTCTGAGTCAAGACAGACGTCAGGATCACTAGCAACAAGCAAACATTCACAAAATAGGAATTTGACCAGACCTGCTATGTCCAGGTATCATCATTTACTAGCTGAGTGAAGCCATCAACTTGATGTATCTAATTTTCAGCAACAGATTTAATAGTCTCTCAAGAAATCATTAAGTCGAGGAAGAGAAACATAATTGGAAGCCTGAAGCAAAGTCTTCTGTTTACGAGTGGGGTTTTATTTCTCCATCATTTCTGTCAGTGCTTTGCATAAAAACACAAATAAAATGTTTATTACATTTGCAAATGACACAAAGCTGAGAGGGATGGCTTAATAAGCTAGATGATGAAAAACACTTCAAAAGCATCTTGACAGGCTAGAAAGATAAGATAAAAATAATGAGATGAAATATAATAAACTTAACTCCTGCACTTAGACAACCCCCCCCAAAAAAAGAAATCACATAAGTAGAAGATGGAAGACTCCTGAAATCATGAAAAAGACTGATGGAGAGTTTGCTATAAACCAACATTATGTGGTGATTGACTTTTAAGTAAATATACTGACCTGCCTTCATAAGAGAATCGTGTCCAGCAGCGGGGACAGTCAACCTCAGCTGGGACTTCCTGAGCACCTCATGTTAAGGCGGATGTTCATCTTCTGAGGAAAAGACCAGATAGACAAAGAACCCATGAAGGAAAA